TGTGTGCGCGTGTGTGTGTGTGTGTGGGTTCGTGTATGTTCGTGCGTGTATGTGTGTGTGTGTGGTTGTGTGTGCGCGTGTCTGTGTGTGCGTGTGCGTGTGTGTGTGTGTGCCTGCGCGCGTGTGTGTGTGTGCGTGTGTGAGCGAGTGTGTGTGTGTGTGAGTGCGTGTGTGCGTGTGCGAGTGTGTGTGTGTGCGTGCGTGTGCGCTCGGGTGTGTGTGTGTGTGTGTGTGCGTGCGTGCGTGTGTGTGTGTGTGCGTGTGTGCGGGTGTCTTTGTGGGCGCGTGTGTTTGCGTGTGCGTGCATGTTTGCGTGTGTGTGAATCTGCGTGTGTGGGCGGGTGCGTGTGTGCATGTGGGGGTTCGTGAGTGTGTGCATATGTGTATGTGTGTATGTATGCGTGTGTGTATGTGTGCGTGTGTGTGTGTGTGTGTGTGCGTGCAGGTATGTGTTTGTGTGCATGTGTGGTTGCGTGTGTGCGTGTGCGTGTGTGTGGGGGTGTGTGTGCGTGCGTTTGTGCTTGTGTGTCTGTGCGTGTGTACGTGTGCATGCGTATGTGTGTGCGTGTGTGCGTGTATGTGTGTGCGTGTGTGTGTGTGCGTGCGTGTGTGTGCGTGTGCGTGTGTGTGTATGCGTGTGGATGTGAGTGGGCGCGCGTATGCGTGTGCGTGTGCGTGTGCGTGTGTGCGTGTATGTGTTCATGCGTGCGTGTGTGTGCGTGTGCACGTGCGTGTGCGTTAGTGTGTGTGCGTGTGCGTGTGCGTGTGTGCGTGTGTGTGTGTGCGAGTTTGTGTGTGCGTGCGTGTGCGTGGGTGCGTGGGTGCGTGTGTGTGAATGTCGGGGCGTGGTGTGTGCGTGGAGTGTGAGTGCGTTGGTGTGTGAGTGCGCGGTGTATGTTTGTGTGTGCGTGTGTGGTGATCTATGTGTGTGATGTGTTGCGAGTGGTGTGATGCGTGGTGTGTGTGTGTGTTCGTGTGTGTGTGGTGTGATCAGTTTGAGTGGCGTGTGTGTGTGTGAGTGTAGTGTGCGTGTGCGTGCGTGGAGTATGAAGTGGTGTGTGAGTGCCTGTGTGGCTTGCGGTTGTTGTGCTGAGGTTTGTGTGTGCGTGTGTGTGTGTGCGTTGTGTGTGTGTTGTGCGTCGACTTCTGTTCTAGGTGTGCGGTGTGTGCGTCTGGCGTGTGTGGTGCGTTTGTCGTGTGTGCGTGTGAGTGTAGTGTGTGTGGGCGTGTGGGGTGTGTGTGTGTCGCGCGTGTCTGTTTGCGCGTGTGCGTGTGCATGTGTGCGTGTGTGTGTGTGCGTGTGTGTGTGTGTGTCTGTGTGTGTGGTCGTGTGTGTGCGTGTGTGTGTGTGTTTGTGTGTGTGTGTGCGCGTGTGTGTCTGCGTGTGCGTGAGCGTGTTTGCGTGTGTGTATGTGCGTTTATGTGTGCTTGTATGTGAATGCGTGTGTGTGTGTGTGTGGGGGGGGGGTGCGCGTACGTGTGCGTCTGTGCGTGTGTGTGTGTGTGTGTGTGCGTGTGTGTGACGTTGGGCGTGTGTGGGCGATTGTGTGTGTGTGCGTGTGCATGTGTGTATCTCTATTTCTTTCCTGTGTGTGTCTCATGCTCTCTTCCACTCTGTCTTACTCTCTCCCTGTCTCTTTCTCCCTCTCTCTCTCTCTGTAGCTGCCCATCCCGATGTTCGGGAGGCAGTGCGCAGCTCGATCTCGGCGGATCCGGTCGCCAGGGCAGGGCTTAGCAGGTTCCTGAGCCTGGAAGGTGGCAGGGGTGCAGGCGTCATTTCCTCCTCCACCACCTCTCCATCTTGGGCGCTGGGCTCGCGATCCTTCCTCGGCGGCCCCCCCCCGGCCGAGCCAGCGGGCCCGCTGCCGGCCGCTGCGGCTCCCGCGCCGCTGCCGCCCCCGAGCGAGGGGCCCAACAGAAACGAAAGCAGCGCCCCCCCCCGAAGCGCAGCGCCCCCCCAGTGAGGCAGCCGCCTGCTCTCCCCGCCGCGGCAGTTTGGGCAGCTACGAGGCGCACTTCCGTGGGGGAGAGAGGGGGGGGGGGAGCTGGGCCAGCGCAGGCCTCCTTTGCTCGCGAAGGAAGGGGGGGAAGGCGGGGAGGGGGGGAGGAGGGGAGTTGAGAGGGGGAGGGGTTGGGAGGGCGAAGAGGAGGGGGGGAGGGTTGAGGGGGCAGGAGGAGGAGGAGAGAAGGAGGAGGGAGGGGAGGGAGGGGAGGGAGAGGGGGGGCTGAGGGCGAGGGGAGGGGAGGAGGAGGAGGAGTAGAGGAGGAGGAGGAGGAGGAGGAGGAGGAGGAGGTAAAGGAGGAGGAGGAGGAGGAGGAGGAGGAGAGGAGAGGAGGGGGGAGGGCGAGGGGAGTTTTGTTTTGGGAGGGGGGAGGGGAGGGCGAGGGGAGGAGGGGAGGGGAGGAGGAGGAGGAGGAGGAGGAGGAGCGAGGAGGAGGAGGAGGAGGAGGAGGAGGAGGAGGAGGAGGGAGGAGGAGGAGGAGGAGGAGGAGAGGATGAGGAGGAGGATGAGGGTGGAGGAGGAGGAGGGGGAGGGGAGGCGAAGGATGAGGAGGGGTCGGAGGAGGAGGAGGAGGAGGAGGAGGAGGAGGAGGAGGAGGAGGGGTGGGGGGTGGGGGGTGTGGGAGGAAGGGGGGGAGGAAGAGGTGAGAGGCCCCACGTCCTCGTCTCGCAGCCCGCGCAGATCAGTGGGTGGCGGCAGTGCGCGGGGAGAGGCTCATCTGCGCCACGCGGAGAGCGAATAAGGGGGGGGGGGGGCAGGGAGAGAGGAAGAGGGGGAGGGGAAGGGAGGCGGGAGGCAGAAAAGAGGGGAGGGGAGAGGGGCGGGAGGCAGGCGAGGGGAGGAAGGGCTCGCTGGGCCTCAGGAGTAGCGTTTTGTCATGTTTGGGGAGTTCGGCGCTGACGAAGTGGGAGTACAGAGGGGCTCGGCCGGGCGCCATGCCGTCGCCCTCGGGAGGGGAGGACGGGGAACGGAGCGTAAAGCCCTCCGCAGAAGAACTGAAGCAGGCACGGCCTGCTGAATGTGTGAGGGATGTTGCACGCCGGTTGCGTCAAACTATTGTGTGGTCTCTCTGTGTATCTCTCTCTCTCTCTCTCGCCCCCTCTCTCTTTGCATGTAAATGCACATCTCTATATAGGCATATGAATAGTCCTCTCTCTCTTTCTCTCTCTCTCTCTCTCTCCCTCTTTCTCTCTACACGCGAGCCGGGTATGGCTCGCGTTGGACGTTTCGTGATGTTTGGTTTACTAGACGAACGTAGCTTGAGCGTGTCCGTAGAATGTGTTGCGCTGCCTTGTGCTGCTCATCCCTTCGAATGTTCAGCAGTTGAGGCTGTAGCCCAAGATGCTTATAAACATCACAATGCGGTAACGTCAGAGTGTATCGCAATTCCTGGTTGTCAGATGACAATAGCCAGGGCGAATGGGCTCGCTGCGAGGTTTGGGCCAGATGGTGTGGGGCCTAGCCTAGCCCTTCAAACCCTGCGCATGATACCAGGAGCGCACGCGTGATGACAGCGTACAGCATGTTGAGGCTTGACTGTCATGTGATATTGTAAGGCGTTGTGTGTCTCTATGTGTGGAACCGGTGCTGGTTATCCGAGTACGCGATCCCTCTTGCCATTATCAACGTTGTCTCCACGAGGCCGTGGCGAGGCATGGAAGGAGGCACCCGACCCGAGTCGCCCAAGGGGATGCGAAGAGAAAATCACGGCGACTCGCGCTTCGCGGCCTGGGCGGCGAGAGCTGCTCCCTCCGAGGGGTGGGCGCGGCAGGTCGAAGGGCGCGCGAGGCGCGAAGCCGAGTGGCCCGGCCCCCGTGCCGCGGCGCGGAGCGGCGCGAGCAGCGGCCAGGCCGCCCGTGCTGGCGCCGCGGACGCCGACGTGGAGGTCCTGCGCCAGCAGCAGCAGGCGCCCGATGCCTGCCCCGCGCCGGCGGGGTCCGATGCGAGCGTCTCGAGTCCGCTTCGGACCTCGGCCCGCGAGGATCGCGTGCCCCCGCTGGTCTCGGTGTCTCCGTCTCCAGAGGAAGTCCTCAGCACCGGAGGAGGAGGAGGAGGAGGAGGAGGAGGAGGAGGAGGAGGAGGAGGAGGAGGAGGAGGGGGAGGGGGAGGGGGAGGGGGAGGAGGAGGAGGAGGAGGAGGGGGAGGAGTAGGAGGAGGAGGAGGAGGAGGAGGGGGGGGCGGGGGAGGGGGGCGGAGGGGGAGGAGGAGGGAGGGTTCGAGGGTTCTGGACATTCTGAAGGCCCTTTGTTGGGACTCCAGGGGCGCCATCGCGGCCACGGCGGGAGTCCCCTGCAGGCTCTGCGGGAGGGGAGGGCCCCCGCGCGGCCCCGGAGAGAGAGGCATGGGCCGTTGACCGCGCGCGGTCGAGTTAGCAGAGGGTAGAATGCCGCCCCCGCGCCGGCAGGCCCCCGCGAGGCGTGCTGCAAGCTTTCAGTGCCCCTGTGCCCCCCCCCCTCGCTCGCCGAGCGAATGGAAGCGCCGGCTCGCCCATCTCCGGCGACCCCTCCCGCCTCCGCCAGCGGCCGGCAGTTTCGTTCCCCAATCAGTGTCTGCACTGAGCAGGCCCTAGAGAGATTGGCGACAGTGGCGGGCCGATGTCGGTGGGCGGCCCCTCCGCGGGCCGCTTTCAGCGGGCCCATTCTCAGGAGGTGCGCGAAAGTGGCCGGCCGAAGTCGGTGGGCGGCTGTCGTTTGGCGCCCCCCCTCTCTCTCTCTCTCGGGGGTGGACAGACCTCCTACCCTGACAGGTCGATTCAGGAATGGGCCGTTTTCGGTTCGCGAGAGGGCGCCGCGGCCGCCATTTTTGCGGGTCCAGGTCCGTCGGTTTCGGCCCCGGGCACCTTTCACTAGGGGGAGGTCTACGAAAGGGAGGTTTGTCCATTGCCGATTTCAGTGGGCCCACCCTCAAGAGATGGGCGAAAGTGGCCGGCCGAAGTCGGTGGGCGGCTGTCGGTGGGCGCCCCCCCTCTCTCTCTCTCCCTCTCTCTCGGGGAAGGACAGACCTCCTACCCTGACAGGTCGATTCAGGAATGGGCCGTTTTCGGTTTTCGCGAGAGGGCGTGGCGGCCGCCATTGTTGCGGGTCCAGGTCCCTCGGTTTCGGCCCCAGGCCGCTTTCCACTAGGGGGAGGTCTACGAAAGGGAGGTTTGTCCATCGCCGATTTCAGTGGGCCCACCCTCAAGAGATGGGCGAAAGTGGCGGGCCGAAGTCGGTGGGCGGCTGTCGGTGGGCGCCCCCCCTCTCTCTCTCTCTCTCTCTCGGGGGTGGACAGACCTCCTACCCTGACAGGTCGATTCAGGAATGGGCCGTTTTCGGTTTTCGCGAGAGGGCGTGGCGGCCGCCATTGTTGCGGGTCCAGGTCCCTCGGTTTCGGCCCCAGGCCGCTTTCCACTAGGGGGAGGTCTACGAAAGGGAGGTTTGTCCATTGCCGATTTCAGTGGGCCCACCCTCAAGAGATGGGCGGAAGTGGCTGGCCGAAGTCGGTGGGCGGCTGTCGGTGGGCGCCCCCCCTCTCTCTCTCTCTCAGGGGTGGACAGACCTCCTACCCTGACAGGTCGATTCAGGAATGGGCCGTTTTCGGTTTTAGCGAGAGGGCGTGGCGGCCGCCATTGTTGCGGGTCCAGGTCCCGCGGTTTCGGCCCCAGGCCGCTTTCCACTAGGGGGAAGTCTACGAAAGGGAGGTTTGTCCATCGCCGATTTCAGTGGGCCCACCCTCAAGAGATGGGCGAAAGCGGCCGGCCGAAGTCGGTGGGCGGCTGTCGGTGGGCGCCCCCCCTCTCTCTCTCTCTCTCGGGGGTGGACAGACCTCCTACCCTGACAGGTCGATTCAGGAATGGGCCGTTTTCGGTTTTCGCGAGAGGGCGTGGCGGCCGCCATTGTTGCGGGTCCAGGTCCCTCGGTTTCGGCCCCAGGCCGCTTTCCACTAGGGGGAAGTCTACGAAAGGGAGGTTTGTCCATCGCCGATTTCAGTGGGCCCACCCTCAAGAGATGGGCGAAAGTGGCGGGCCGAAGAATGGGCCGTTTTCGGTTCGCGAGAGGGTGGCGCGGCCGCCACTTTCGCGGGTCCAGGTCCGTCGGCTTCGGCCCCAGGCCGCTTTCACTAGGGGGAGGTCTACTCAAGGGAGGTTTGTCCATCGCCGATTTCAGTGGGCCCACCCTCAGGAGATGGGCGAAAGTGGCCGGCCGAAGTCGGTGGGCGGCTGTCGGTGGGCGCCCCCTCTCTCTCTGATCTCTCTTTCTTTCTCGTTTGCTGATGCTGATGCTTTTTTTTACTAAGGGGAGGTCCACTAAAGGGAGGTTTGCCCACCGCCGATCTCTCTCTCTCCCTCTCTCTCTCTCTCTTTTTCTTTTTCGTTTGTTGAGGCTGCTGCTGTTTTTTTTTCTGGGCCGCTGTGGGGGCGCGCTGTGGCCCCCTCGCGAGCCGTCGATGGGGCCCGTCGGGCCGCCGGGGGTGCCTCGTGCGCCGCCCTGGCGCAGGGCTGGGAGCCTCCTAGCGGCCACTCGAAGCTTCAGTCGGGCCTGCCCCTCTACAGGAGGAGCATTCCAAAATAGTCAGAAAATAGTCCCTGGCATCGCTCGGACGTGTGCGTTTTTTCCTCGGCGAGGATCATCGAGGAGCATCCTTGATCATTTGCCGAAAAAGCCACGCACGAAACCGAAACAAACACAGGGAATGGACGTCCGAGCGATGGCCAGAGTCTGGGGATAATGTTTGAGCATTTCTGGCAAGTTTGTTGGCATGCTGGGCCTACTTTTCAATGTTTCGCCCAAAGTCCGCCTGTAGGGGGACGTGTCCGACCCTATTCTAAGCCGACGGGTGCCCGAAATGGCGAGGAGGCCACGACCCTTCCAACACGCAAGGGCTGTCAATTCATGAGTTAGCCTCTTGGGGCCCTCTTGCGAAGCTGCGGCCGGGCATGGTGCTTGCAAAACTTCCGGACCATCCACCGATTGGGTTTATGTCTTCTTCTCCGGTGTAATTCTCTACAGACGGAGGGTCTTCTCTCGCAACTGGTAGGGCAATCTGCTCGCGCGGTTGCACCGCAGTCGTCGGGAGAGGACGGGACGGAGAGGGGCCCACATGGATGAGCAGTCTGGGCGGGATAGGGAGAAGGACAGAGTGATAGAATTTGAAAACCTACATATCTGCATAAACGGGGTGAGTGTAGAATAAAGAAGAAAATAATATAATGTGGACGAGGAGCCTCGCAGAACCATCCACAGCGCCCCAAATCTGCGACCATGTTTGAGTCGCTTGTAGTGGCAACCCGAGAAAATGGCAGGAACGGCATCCTGCTTTCTATACTCGTGCTTCCAGGTTGTGGCAGCATCAATTTCGCCCGCAGCACCAGCTGCATGACCACCGCGACGACGCGAAGTGCAACGCTTCTCCCTCGTCATGTCCTCTGCCCTCCTCCTCCTCCTCCTCCTAAGCCTCCTAAGCCTCCTCCTCCTCCTCCTCCTCCTCCTTCACCCCCCCCCGCCAGGTCCTCCTCTGCTTGCTTGGCCAGGCCTCCGCCGATCCGGCCGCGCTGCACAAGCTCTACCAGGATCGCGCGAGCAGAGTTAAGTCGGGCGTGCCCCTCAACAGCAGGAATATTCTGAAATAGTCAAAACATAGTCTGGGGGCGATTTGTTTTGGTATGTTTGAGCAGTGTTTGATTATTCTGGGTGTATTCCCCCATCTCCAAAGGATGGGGTTCTTGTTATTCTCTGACCGCGCCGGACCTCTCCCCTCCCCTCCTCTGTCTGCACTAGACAATGATGATGATGATGATTGTCATGATGATGACCATGGCATGGTGAGAGCATGATGTGAGTATGATGATGGCGAATGATGGATGAGTAGGATGATGAGTACGATGATGAGTATGATGATGATGATGATGATGATGATGATGATGATGATGATGATGATGATGATGATGATGATGATGATGATGATGATGATGATGATGACGATGATGATGATGATGATGATGATGCTGATGCTGATGCTGATGCTGATGCTGATGCTGAATGCTGATGATGATGATGATGATGCTGATGCTGATGATGATGATGATGATGATGATGATGATGATGATGATGATGAGGAGGATGAGGAGGATGAGGGATGAGGAGGATGAGGAGGATGATGATGCTGATGATGATGACGATGACGATGACGATGACGATGAGCAGATGATGAGGATGTCCCGAGTGGTTTGCTGGTTTCAGCACCCCTAAGGGGGGCCGCCAGGGGTATTGCACGGCCTCCATTCGCGCCAAAATGGCGGGGACGTCTCGAGCGGTTTGCCTGTTTGCATGCCCAACATCTTCCGCTTTCGGAGCAGAATTTTAGGATGTCTCGAGCGAGGCGCTCATTTTCGCCCCCCAGGGGGGCCAGATGTTGAGGATGTTTCGATCGGTTTGCTTGTTTTTGTGGCCAGACTCGTGGGCACAGATTCTCCCCAGGATGCCACAGGAGGCTCCAGCAGGCTCCAGGAGGCCCCAGGAGGCCACATGAGGCCCTAGGAGGCATCATGAGGCCACAGGAAAATTCAAGAGGCCACAGGATGCCACAAGAGGCTCCAGGAGCAGGAAGCCACAGGATGCCCCAGGAGGCCAGAGGAAGCGCCAAGAGGCTTCAGGAAGCCACAGGAGGCCCCAGGAGGCTACAGGAAGCGCCAGGAGGCCCCGGAAGGCAACAGGAGGCCCCGAGAGGCCCCAAGAGCAGGAGGCCTCACAAGGCAACACGCGTGGCTCCAATCCCATGTGTTTTACGTATGCTCCTATACACTGGGCCTCACCTGGAGCACGAATCCTTGATGTTATACGTATGTTTCTATAGATTGTCCTTCTCCTGTGTATACTATCTTAAATGCTTTACGTATGTTCCTATAGATTGGGCCTCCCTTGGGGCATGAGTCCGTGGTGTTTTACGTGCGTTCCTATAGATTACCCTTCTCCTGTGGCTCAAATTCGCTATGTTTTTTGTACGTCTGTTCCTACATATTGGGCCAGGAGGTTCAGGAGGCCCCAGGAGGCCACGCGAGGCTCCAGGAGGCCTCATGAGGTCACTCGAAGCCCCAAGAGGCCCCAGGAGGCCCCAAGGGCCCCAGGCTGATGCGCAGAGACGCGTTCGTACTGCTGAGACGCATTCACACTCCAATTCATTCGCAATTAGATTCATGACCAGACCGTCACAACTCAAGCCCGCTTATACTCGAAAACTCTTGCGCCTAGACACTCACGATGGACAGGTCCATGCGAATAGATGCACATATGGAGAGCTCCACGCAGTGAATGATTTTTATGTTTTGTCCAAAATCCCCCTATAGGGGGAAACGCCCGACTTCAGAGTAGACTGGGCGCGGAGGAGGATGCGGAGGGAGAAGGATTCGGGCAGTTGTCGGACAGAGCTAGGACGAGGATAATACGTTGTAGAGCTATCCCGCAGGCTCTCGGAGCGTTCTGGAACGCTCTGATAGGGCCGCGGCGCCCGAGACACCCTCCAGAGCCGCCGGATCTCAGAGATTCCCGATTGGTCCGCGTCCGAGTTTGTCCTCGTTTTGGCTTCGTCTTGAAAGGATTGGGGCAGTTGCTCCTCTGTGTATAGTCACTTGTGCCTCCGACGTTTTCGGGGGATCTCGGGGGGTCTTCTTTCAGGGAGGGGAAACGCACACGGACAAAAGCAATCGTCGATCGCCCGGAAGATCTGGGAACATAGGGGAAGCGGGGGGGACGACGACGATCCAGAAAATGTGGGGGATCCAGGGATTTGTGCTTGTCTGTTTGTGTGTCCCTGGGCCCATGCATTCTTCGAGGCCAAGGGTCGCGGGCGATGTTTCTCCCCCAATCCCCGAGTTTCGCCCGAAAAGTCTGGCCGCTCAGAAGAATGGGAAAACCCTGGGATACACCCCAAGGGGGCTATTCGGACGCACCCCTATCGAGAATGGACACCCCCACCATCGTATATCCCAGGGTTGGGCCCCAAATTTCTGGTCCATTTGGAAACCCCACGAAGCCTGGGATAGGGGTCGACACATCCCCTGTTAAAGGGGGAGAGGGGTGGGCGGCCAGGGCGGGCACTCCTGAGGCAGGCAGAGGCGCCAGCGCGCCCGGTGCCCCCCCCCCCCCCCCCCCGCCGCGCTCGTGTTCGCCGGCCCGTCCTCTCGGCCCCCTCTCTCCGCGCCCCCACCGCCTCGGCACGATCGAGATGGGTACGGAAAGAATGGGTACGATGCCCAATACACTCTAGGCGATGCTTAAGAAAATCCAAGTTTTCGGCCAGAGTCTCGATTATTCTCAATGTTTCAATGTGAATCCTAAAATTTTAATAGAAACGTTGGGTGTTTATTCAAGTTCTGAGACTATGAATTTCTTAACCCATGATTTCTTAAGCATTTCGCAGGGTGTACGATGCCCAATAGCAGTTCCTGCTCAGTTTGAACAGGGCTCGCTGTCCACGCCGCCGCGGCCTGTGTCCATTTGAGACGGGAGGCCGCTTGCCCAACAGCGGCCGCTGTTGGTTTGGGACAACATCTGTTGTCGGGTCTGTACCCATTCTTTCCGTACCCATTCCGGGCGTCCAAAATCGCTTCGGCACCGCAGCGGGTACAGTCAACCCGCAGAGTAAGGATGGGCGACCTTCCCAAGGGTGCCCTCGCATCTTCGCCTCTTCGGTCGATCCTGGACCACTTCTGTTGGCCGCGCCCCGCTCGGGAAGCTTCGGAATGGGCATCCGAGGCGCTGGCATCCTTGTCCCGCATCCTTACTCTACGGGTCAACCGTACCCACCAATGGGTACTTGTCTGGAAAGCTGCCGAAAGCTGCCTCCTTCAGGGCCTGCAGGGTTTCTCCGAAGGGCTTAGGCGACCCGTCCTCCTCCTCCTCCTCCTCCTCCTCCTCCTCCTCCTCCTCCTCCTCCTCCTCATCCTCCTCCTCCTCCTCCTCCTCCTCCTCCTCCTCCTCCTCCTCCCCCTCCCCCTCCCCCTCCCCCTCCTCCCCTCCCCCCCCTCCCCCTCCCCCTCCTCTACCTCCTCCGCCTCCTCCTCCTCCTTCTCCTCGGGTCGCCTACGGCCCCGGGGGAAACCGTGCATCGGGGCGGGTCGGGTTCGCCGGGCCGCGGGCCCAAGTGCCCGCTCGCGGGGTCCCCGCTGGAGGGGCGCGGAGAGTGCTCCCCGCTGCAGCCCTTTGCCATCGCCTCGCGTGGCCCGTCGCATCTCCCTCTCCTCCAGTGCCCCCTCCCCCCCCCCCCCAGGGGGCTGCGAGGAGGAGGCGGACGTGGGACGCGGGAGAGAACATCGGGAGAGAGGATCCCCCCTCGTTTGCGCTCCCACGTCCCGTCTGCCTCCTCGTGTGCCCCCCCTTCCTCGTTGTCCCCCCACCCCTCCGCGCAGTGGCCCTTGTGATTTTTGTTCGAGTGCAGAGAGGCTTGTGGTGTCGGCGGGACTCTTGTGGTGTACACCTTAGGCGATGCTTAAGAAAACCCAAGTTTTCGTCCAGAGTCTCGATTATTCTTAATTTTTTAATGTAAATCCCAAGATTTTGATAGAAGTTCTGGGTTTTATTCAAGTTCTGAGACTATGAATTTCTTAACCCATGATTTCTTAAGCATTTCGCAGGGTGTACGCTGGCTGGTCTTCTTGCCCACTACACAGAGGCCCTTTGGGATACACCTGCCGTGTGTGGGTGCAGGGCGCTTGTGGGTACTCGCCTTACGATGTTCCAACCTATGTTAGCCTTGGTCACCAGAACAGAAAAAAAAAACGAGCACCACGAAAGTATCGACATTTGAAGGTTTTCACGCGTCGGGCCCTGGGAGGCGATACTCGTTCGACATTGTTTCGACAATCTTCTGGGTGCTCGAAATTATTTTTGGGATGTGGTCCTTAGGTACGATGGGAGCTACATGAAACTCGCCGTCTATTTATGACTGCATGGCTGGTTGTACGTAGGCCCGTGCATGCGTGCACAGTCTGCCGGTATGCACGGGCGCCTGGTGGCAAACACCGGCCATGCGGTAGACGAGGCCCTGCCGAGCGGAGCGTGTGATTTCTGGGGGGAAGTGGGGGAGGGGGGGGAGCGGGGGGAAGTGGGGGAGAGGGGGGAGTGGGAGGTGAGGTGAGAGAGACGGAGAGAAGGGGGAGCGGAGGAGGACAAGCTGGGTTGGTTCGCGCCAGATCTGGCATCCTGCCCCTCCCTCCCCTCCCTTCCGATGGCGAGGTTTGTCTCTGTCCGCCGACTCGTGTCATAGCGGACCCAGAGCTCCCAGGACGACCCCATTGTGTTGCGCGCAATCGACCAACAGAGAATTCCGTGCATTGGAGGAGGAGGAGGAGGAGGAGGAGGAGGAGGAGGAGGAGGAGGAAGAGGAGGTGGCGGATGGCATGGGCAGGAGGAAACAGGAGGAGAAGGAGGAGAAGGAGGAAGGAGGACGAGGACGAAAAGCAGCAGCAGAGGCTGGAGCGGAATGAGCGGGGGAAGCAGGAGGACCAGGGGAAGGCGGAGGGGGGGAAATGAGAGGGTGACAACGACGAAAAAGGATTCGGATCCAGAAAAGTAAGTTTCCCGCACCAGGGGGCAGAACGCCAGTAGGAACGACGGGATCAATCTGCCGATCCGAAAATGAGTCCTACGCTGCAGTGGGAGCATCGTTTTGAAACATCTATCGCAATCGGACGGTCAACCAAAACATAAGCAACACTTTTGCTTGAGATCCTGTGCATAAGAGGGGGAGAGGGACGCAGGCAGAGAGGTGGAGGGGGAGAGAGTTGCAGAGGGCCAGAGGGGAGGGGAGAGGGGGGGGGGAGAGGGGAGAGGTAGGGGGAGGGTAACACCAGGGCGGTCCTGGGGGGACAGCGCATGCCAGAGGCGGCAGGGCCCGTGCTGCTGCAGTGGCCCCGCTCCTCAGGAGCTCCTGCGGCACGGCGCGGCCGCCAAGGAGGCACGCTGTCCCTGCCCTCCCTGCGCGCGCGGGGGGCTGGCGCCGCGCGGGCACGAGAAGCGAGGAGCGCTGCCTCGCGCCTGGAGCGTCGATGCGGGCACTGGTTCTGCGATCCTCTGGCGCGTGACGATGGCTAAACCCAGCCAAACCCTCCCCCCCCGGGTAATGTAGGGCGACGAGATCTATACATATCCACTGCTCCTGGCCAGGCCCATCCTGGGCCCAGGAGCTGTGTATATGCCTCCCTGGCCAGGCCAGGAGGGCGTATACACCGCTCCTGGGCCCAGGATTGGCCTGGCCAGGAGCAGTGGATATGCATAGATCTCGTCGCCCTATAATGGGGGGAAACGATTCAAAAAAAACTTTCTGGGGCGGACGATTTGAAAAACTGCTTCGCGGCCTCGCCCCCGCAATAGCGGGGGGTCAGGGCAGGCAGACGGGGGGCCGACAATTCCGCAATTCCGGGTTGCCTGGAAGGCCAAGGGGGGGGGGGCACGGGGTGGCGATCCGCAGTAAACATCGTATGCAGGGAAGGGGCTGGACCCCCTCCCGCACGCTGGTGCTCGCAGCGCACCCCCGCCCCGACGTCGCCCACGCCGCCCAAGCGTTCCTGTTGCCCGGCCCCTTCCCCCCCCGGATAGCGACAGCTCCCGGGAAAGAGCACGTATCTTTGTTTCTCGGGCGTCTCAGAAGTTGTCGGATTCCTGGGGTGGCTTCCTTCAGCTGCGCATCGTCGAGATCCTTCCAAAGTTGTCTGGATCGTCCCGAATGGCCGCCGGAGAGCCGCGCTAGGAGCCGAAGAGGCGCACCTTTCAGGAGGCCTTCTCAGAAAGCGGCGGGACTTCTTTGAGGCCGTCGCGCCTTCTGAGAGAGAGGTTCTCTGTCCGAGGCGGGAATTTACGCATGACCACCGCTTGAAGAATCAATGTTCGGGGACCTCGGCAGGCGGTGGATATGGACATTTTCGGGCCCCTGGGGGCCCAAATATATCCATATTCACCGCCCGCTGGGGCACCAGGACGTCGGTTCCCAGGCGGTGGATATGGATAAATCCCCGCCACGCATTTTGCGTCTTCGGGGGGAACCTCTGAAGTCCCGCCCCTTCCCCATTGCCCCCTCGCTCGCCGCCGAGTTGCCGCCCCATCGAGCATCGCCCGAGCCTCCGCCTCCCCCCCCGCACATCCCAGTGTTGCCTTGCGTTCCCTCGTCCACACTGGTCTTATCCGTGTCCCTCTACAGGAGGAATATTCAAACATAGTCACAAAATCGTCTGCGGACGATGTTTTGAGTATGTGTTGACTATTTGTTAGTCTTGTTTTGGTATTTTTTGTTTTTCGTCCAAAACCCGCCTGTAAGAGGACACGCCCGACTTAATCCCAGTGTTGTCTTGCGTTCCCTCGTCCACGCTGGTCGTTGTTGCCAGGTTGGCGAGGCGTGCTTCTAGAAAGAGAGGGGCTCAGGCGCCCCTCAACAAACTGGACCGTGCGAATGTAGCATCCCGGAGGAATGAATAAAAACATTGACAGGTTTGGCTGTGCGAACCATGATAAGATGAGTTGTTGTTTCACGCCGATCGGCATTTGTGTGGCCTTGTGGTGGACGCTGCGCCATGATGATCGCAGCGCTTGGGCGAGTTCTTCGATTGAGAATATGGTCGATTGATGTCCACGCATGAAACGCTGGGTTGTGCCATTGTTTGCGACGTTGTTTCCGCCAGCTCACACTGCTAAGCTTGCTCGCACCCACTTGACTTCTTGCTTGGAGGTAGTTCGAATGATGTGGTGTTGTAGTCATTACAGCGCGAATGTATGCGCGCAGTTCCCAAGCTAAAGTTAACATGCTTGTACCATGATTGGTCGTCGAAAGTGGTAGAATTCTCGGAAGTGTCTGACTCGTCCTTCCCGAAGTGTTCCAGATGCCGAGACTCACACTCATGACATTCTTGATGTAAGGCCCAGGCGCGTTGGTCCAAAACAAAGTTTGGGCCAATGAAGTAAGTAATTTGAGCTTGTTGCGTAAATCAGCGACCGACCACATCAACTACAATGTATACCATGTATCATGCCACACATCGTACAAGAGAGGTACATGGTGATCAAATTCGTTGGGCAGTCCAGTGTGTGTGGTGCATTGAATTGGGTGGAAGGGCAAGTACAACGAGTAAGGTGAGCAGAGCTTGCAGTCTAGTTGGAATTAGTTTCACAGCCAAGCAGATGATGCAAAGCTTCGGAGGTGCGCACGCTTTCAGCTTTCACTTCGTACTCATTCAATCGATTTCCTCGCGGCTGTCAGCAATTCAAGTGAGAACATTTGATGATAATGAGACTATCGAATGGCATTCGCTTGCCCACTCGCTGCCATGTTGACTACGTCTGGGGATGCTTACTACTTGTTATTTGCTCGTATGGGTGGCCGCACTCCGCTGTGCGTCCGCTTACTCGGGCGCTCGGAAGAATGCCAGTATCCCAGCTCGCGAACACTCCCACGTCCACCCATTACGTACGGGCACACCGACAGATGTCTTGCGATCGGGCAGGCAGCTGTGGTGCTCCATGTGTGCTGCCTCGGCCGTCGCATCAAGGCGGGCGGGGAGGCGCGAGAGGACTCCTCCTCCGCCTCCTCCTCCTCCTCCTCCTCCGCCTCCTCCTCCTCCTCCTCCTCTCCTCCTCCTCCTCCTCCTCCTCCCTCCTCGCCCTCCCCCTCCCCCTCCTCCTCCCCCTCCTCCTCCTCCCCCTCCTCCTCCTCCTCCTCCTCCTCCTCCTCCTCCTCCTCCTCCTCCTCCGGCCCCGTCAGGCAGCACGGCGCGCGCGCGCACGCTCGGCAGGCGCCCCCCCCCAAGGGAAGGACAGTGCGCTCGGTGCCCCTCCCCGCGCCAGGCTCTCCCGGGCCCCGGAGAGCGAGTGGTGCCCGACCGGAGGGGGCGGGAGCTCTGGCGCGGCGCCCGCGGTCGCCGGTCGGATCGGAGAGGCTCTGCACCACACGCTCTGCACTGCGGCGCGCCCCGGGGGGGGGGGGAAGCGGGAGGGGGCGGGCCTTCTCAGAAGGCTCGGGAGGCCCTCCGGCCTTCTGAGGGGCTATCTCGGCCTCCCCCGAAGCCGCAGAACATTGCTCACAAGGCGCGATGGGCTTCCGAGAAGCCCAGCCGCCTGCGGAGAAGGCCTGCTGCTTCTCACTTCCCCCCCCTCGCTCGCCGCCGACTTCTCGGAGCTCCGCACGGGGTTCTTGCATCTGCGCTGGCCCCCCTGGCGGCGCCTCCGACGCTGCCCCTGGCGCGCCCCCCGCGCCGGGGAGGGAGGGTCCAGCGTCCAGCGCTGATCCAAGAGATCCGTGCCGAGCTCTCACAGTTGCTGCTTGCCCCGTCGTGCTCCTTCTGCTCGCGCTCCGCGAGGCGCGGAGCCTCGGGTGAGTTGGCATTAGGGAAAGCCATCGCTCATGCCGCTCGCTGCTCAGTGAACTATCAACGGCGGCCCTCCGGCCACCACGTTGAGCTCGGTGTGCTCGTCCTGCCGTGTGACGTTATCTGTCAAATCGTCCTCATCCTCGTCGCCGTCTGTCTACCTTGCCCCTTCCTGCTTCTTCTCATTCGCATGCTGCGGTTCCCCTGAAGACTGGGCATGGTGGGTCTGAGCAGGGCAATGGTTGTGCCATGATCCATAGCTGATCACAGAGAGGGCCACATCTCCGTCACGTACACCCTAGGCGATGCTTAAGAAAACTTGTGTTTTCGGCCAGAGTCTTGATTATTCTTAATTTTTCAATGTGAATCCTAAGATTTCAATCGAAGTTCAAGGTTTTTTTCTCAGATTCTGAGACTCTGAGTTTCTCAACCCATGATTTCTTAAGCATTTCGCAGGGTGTAACACGACTCCGAAGAGGGGGGAGGGGAACCGAGGAGACTCTTGCGTGCAACCGATCGAGGCCTCGCTGCCCAGCACCTGTGCTCAAGACGTGGTCGTCCCTGGGGCCTCCGGGCGCCCGCGTCCGAGCTGGGGCGTCGGAGCTGGGGTTAAGTCGGGCCTGTCCCTCGACATGGGGAATATTCGGAAATAGTGAAAAGATAGTCTGGGGACGATTTGGAGGAGGAGGAGGAGGAGGTATTTTTCGTCCAAAATACCCCTGTAGGGGGACAGGCCCGACCTAAAGCTGGGGAGTGCAGGGACGCTGGTGCTGCAGCTCCTCCGGCAGGCCTGCTTTCCCCCCGCGGGGAGAGGCGGCGGCGGCGGGTGGCTTTTCGCGGCAGCGGCGGGTGGCGGTCGCAGCGGCCGCGGCGGCGGCTCCGTGGCGGCGGTGCGCGGCAGCGGCAGCGAGGGGGTGGCGGTGGCGGCTGGGGCGGGCGGCGACGTCGGCGGTGGCGGCCCCAGACCCCTCGGGCAATGAAAAAATCATGGCGGGGGGTTTCACCGTATGTTCGGCCTCGGGAGGCCCTTACCGGGCCTCGGGACCTTCAAACAACGACTCGGGATGAGAAACCGGTCCCAGGATGTGGGCCGAGACCTCTCAGGGTCGACGTCATGAAGAAATCATGACGTCGGGGGTCTGGGTGTGTTGCGGTGGTGAGCGGCAGCGGCAGCGGGGGTGGCTGCTGTGTGGCGCTGGTGGTGGCGGTGTGCCGATGCACGTCGTTCTGGCCTGCTCGTCACAGAACTCTGCCACGTCTGAGCGCTTCCCCCCTCCTTCCTTCGCGCGGCCGCCTCGTCTTCTTCCCTCTGACACGCCCGACAAATCGCTTTTCGGTTGCCACGATTATATAGCCTCACGATGGTGCGGACTGCCTCTGCCTCGCCGCCAACGGAAAAAAGTGCCCATACACGTTTTTCGCCGCTGCTCTCGGCCGGCTGCGTGGAGCTGCCGATGCTTGGCCTCAAAGGATACGCACTGAAGTTACGATGGTGGTGGCGATGATTGGCAGTGACGACGGCGGCGTACAAGGTAAATGGATGGTGTCTTTCGGGATGGCGTTCTCCGAGATGGCGGCTGAGTATGCTTGCGCCTCCTCCGGGGCAACTTCCGGCAGGAAGGATCATTCACGACCTCGGTTTCTGCTGCATTTTGTCCGCAGCATCGCACCTCCAATATGAAGCTCGAGGCCGTTGTGTTTATAGCCGCCCGCATTCCCACACCTCGCACCATGCTTGTTGCGCCCAATCTGAGGCATTTGTTACACATCGCACTTGCCTAACTTTGTTGCAGGGATGTCGCATGCCCTCTTCCTCCCCAATGTCGAACAAGAACAAATACATAAACAAACTGTCGCTGCTCCGGGCGAACTTGTCGGATTGGCGGTGAAGCCCCCTGGCGGCGCCTCACGCGCCGCCCTGGGCGCGCTCCAAGGTCCAGCGCCGATCCAGGAAATCAGCACGGATCTGCGAAAGCTCTTGCTTATGCCTTCATCTGATCCCCGATCTTCCTCCCTAGACAACTTGGCTCTGACGACGAGCAGGTGATCGACGCTTCAGCTCCAGCTCCAGACTACACCTCCGACTTGGTACCGGCCCCTAGCGTCTCATTACAGCCTCGGGTTTCACCAGCACCAGCATCACCGACTTCAGGTTCACCCTCGACAGGGAGCATCGCTAACGAACTCACGACTACGAGGACCGCGTCTACAAAGGAAAGAGAACGTAGAACCACGACGTTGGGACAGGTGGCGCACGGTGACCCACGAATATCCCGTTCACCCACAAGTGTCTCACCCAGTACTGTTTCACCAGCTGTTAGGCTTACGGCTCCCAACCCAGTGCGGCCAGCGACGGCAAACCTAGGGCGGAGGCATCGCCGCAGGCGAACTGCCCAGCCACCCATGCACCAGCACAGATACTCCAGATTTCGTAATAAAAGGGAGGGGGTCTGGACCCTCCAAGACAAGCCATTTCAGACCTCCCCCGTGGGAGAACCCTCCAAAACGTCGTCCCAGACCCCCCATGCCCTCCAAGATAGCCCGGAAGAGACCCCCCCCGAAATGAGACCCCCCTCCCTTTATTACGAAATCTGGGGTACACCCCAGGGGACGTGCGCCGGCAAATCCCGCAGTGGAGGGAGGTGTGAGTACAGCAGCAGCGTCGATGGAGCTGTCCTGGCGAGGACCTTCTGCGACTCGTCCACTGCAGGGACCCGCCCTCGGGCCCCCGCGTTCCGACGGACCTTTGCGCGGCACTCGGGCACACATCCCACGGCAGACCTCCAGCCTCCGGCGTCCGACCTCCCACGTCCACCTCCACCTGCAGCCACCCCCGCACAGCAAGCATGGGCAGCCTTCCCAAGGGTACCCTTGCATCCTGGCCTCCTCGGCCCATCCTTGGCCACCTTCGCTGGCCGCGCCCCGCTCGGAGAGCCTCGACGTGGCGCTCCAGAGCCCCTGCACCCTTCTCGCGCATCCTCGTGATACGGGCCGACCTCACCGACCTCCGGCCTCCGCCAGCTCGGCAATCGAACCCCCGGCATCCACCATCCGATGCCCCCACCACCTCCACCTGGCGGCCCCCGGCCCCTCCACCAGCTCGGCCGAGCGACCTCCATCCTCCAGCGTCCGACTGCCGACTTCCACCTCCGCCCGCCGACCTCCCGGCCTCCTCCGGCTCGGCAGTCTTTCCCCTGGCCTCCAGCATCCGACTTTCCGCTTACACCCCCGCCCGTCGACCTCGATCGACCTCCACCTGCCGACCTCCGGCCTGCACCAGTTCAGCTCTCCGACCTCCAGACCCCGACTCGGCACGGGGCACTCTGAGACGGTAACGGCGGCGTCGACCTCAGCATTCTCCATAAGGAATGCGGGGTCACTGAAAACACACGACAGCGCGGGCGAGTTACTGCGCGAACTGCGCGGCTCACACTGGGACGAACCTTCAACCAGGGAAGCGTGGAGAATAAGACAGCAGGAGTTGTGGATTACAACGAAAGGGCATACCTTTGGGTGGGGGATTGTTGTTGATGATAGCCGGTCCCACGGGGTTGCGATTCTCGTGCGCAAACGTGGAAGTAGGTTTGTCACCGAGTTTCGGGCCATCCGCGCCAGACCTGCGACGATGAAGATCAGGAGGGGGGGAGTGCGATGAAATTGGGTGTCCGCGCACTTCCCGCACACCGGGTTCGACGCCGCACACACATATAGAACAGATCTGTTTGACGCGATCAGCGTTGTGCTCGGCGAGGCCCGCGCCCGACGCCTGCGAAAGGTTCTGACTTCGGCGCCCAGGTTGGGTCGCGGCAGCGTGCGGGCAACCACCAACAGCCACACATCCCACAGGATCTTCAGAACGAGGGCGCCGCCAACCTTTGACATCATCGGACCGACATTGATTCTCGATACGTTGGACCCTACGGTTTTGCGAAGAGAGTTCTCGAGGACAATGCCTGGTCTGGCCTTGGCACACCCGTCGACGTGACCACCTTGGCTTGGGAGATCTGCAATCCTGTCCGCGTGCCCTTGCGCTGGCGGTCTCATGGTGGTCAGCATGAGGGTTCACTCTGCTGAGCCTGTCCTCCCAAGAGCCCGCGAAAGTGGAGACAGTTTCGCAGATCGCAGCCCCCTCAGGGACGGCGGCGTTTGATGGGCGTTTGCGCAAGAACAGTCTGCTAGGCCCCCCTGGGGCTCACGAAAGTGGCGACAGTTTTCCAGATCGCAGCCCCCCAGGGGCGGCGAGGTCTCGTGGTGGTCGGCGTGGGACGCCACACCCCTGGACCTCCCAGGGACCCACGAACGTGGCGACGGTCTCGCAGATCGCGGCCCCGCAAGGAGGCTGCCGTCCAGGCATTGGTTTTCAATCATTAAACAATCCCGGGGGAAAAAATGGAGAACCGGGGGCCCGCGGCGTGGTCACCAACGTTGCTTGAAATTCGAACTCCGAATTATAGGATATCTGGAGCCACCGCGAAAAAGGAAACTTGGAGTGAGTCAAAACCATTTTTTGGCGTGGTGATTCTAGCTTTCCCGTAATCAGAATATTGGAAACCTCGACTTCGAATCATGGGAGACCTGGAATCACCACATCACGAATAACCTCACTCTGTGAGCTGATTCCTCATGGGAAACCCAGAATCAGCTCAGAGTCAGTTTTTTTCGTAGTGATTCCAAGTGTCTTCGAATTCGAGGTTTTCTATATTCGAATTATGGGAACCCTGGAATCATGACGAAAACCATATTCTATGAGCTGATTCCGGGCTTCGCATAATTCCGAACTACGGGAATCCCGGAATCAGCTCACTGAGCGCGATTTGTGATAGCAATTCCAAGTTTCACATAGTTTGGATCCGAGGTTTCCCATAAGAGTTGATTCCGTCCGGTCGGGTTTCCCATTATTCCAAATTATGGGAAATCCAGAATCAGCTCATAGAGTGCGGTGTTTTCGTGGTGGCTCCAGGTTCCCCATAAGCCCTCTGGGCGTAGGTGGTTTAGAGAGTTTCCTCTTCCAACCTCATTCTTCCCCTTCAGGAAGGGGTTTACCCCTCCCCCTACCCCCTCCCCTGGACCTGGACGGGGGGGTCGCGAAGTATCAGGGCGTCCAAAACGGCCTCGGCGAGGAAGCCAAAATCATTGATCTTACTATTGTTTTGGCCCCATTTTGGCCTCCTGGGGGGGGGGGGCCTAATTGAAGCTCCCCTCTTGTTTGATCGATCTCCTCCAAGATGGCCCCAAGAAGCGCCCAGGAGGCCCCAAGGGGGTCCAAGATGGCCCCAAGATGGCCCCAAGAGGCCCCCAAGAGGCTCCCAGGAGGTCTCCAAGAGGCCCCAAGAGACCTCCCAGAGGCACCCAAGATGCTCCAAGAGGCCTCGGCGAGAATGCCAAATCATTGATTTCACGAAAGTTTTTGCCACATGTTGGCCTCTTGGGGGGGGCACTGATTACGATGACTCCAAGAGCGCCTGGGAGAGCCCAAAATGACCTCCAAGATGGCTCAAAATATCCCCAGAGGTCTCATAATGGCTTCCTCTGTGTTCTGCCCACTTCCCTGATCGAGGCAATTCCTCTGGGCATCGTTTCTGGATAGGCTGGTGGGGATTTGCGAAGCGTCAACAGTTGAAAGAGCGCGTTCTGTGGTCGGTTGGGGGTGGGGGGGGGAACCGTGGAACCGGACCCCCCCCCCTGGATGGAGGGGGGGGGATTTCGAACCCCCCCCCCGTTCCCGTGACCCCTTCCCTCCCGCTGCTCCTGTGACCCTCTTCCCTCCCTCTCTTCTCTCCTCCTCGGGCGGGGACGACGATTTCCTTTTCTGGCCCGGCGCCAGCGCCTCCGGCGGCGGGCGGCGGCGGCGGGGAGCGTCGACGAGGGCGACGGTGGTGGCGGTGGTGGTGGTGGTGGTGGTGGGTTCTGGTGGTGGTGGTGGCGGTGGTGGTGGTTGTGGTTGTGGTGGTGTGGTCGTTTGTTGTGGTGGTGGTGGTTGTGGTGGTGGGTGGTGGTTGTGGTGGTGGTGGTGTTGGTGGCTTGGTGATGGTGCGGTGGTGGTTTGTGTTGGTGGTGGTGGTGGTGGTGGTGGTGGTGGTGGGTTGTGGTGGTGGTGGTTTGCTTGGTGGTGGTGTGGTTTTGGTTTGTGGTGGTGGTGGTGGTGGGTTGTGGTGGTGGCGGTGGTTTGTGGAATTGGTGCTGGTGGTGGTGGTGGTGACGGTGGTGGTGGTGGTGGTCTGGTGGTTTGTGGTGGTGGTGCTGCTGGTAGTGGTGGTGCTTGTGGCGGTGGTGGTGGTTTGGTAGATTGTGGTGGTAGTGGTTGTGGTGGTGGGTTTTTGTGGTGGTGGTGCTGGTGAGTTCTGGTGGTGGTGGTGGTGGCTGTGGTGGTGGTGGTGGTGGTTGTGTGGCGGGTTGGTGGTGGTGGTGGGTTGAGGCAGTGGTGGCGGTGGTAGTGTTGGCGGTGGTGGTAGTGGTGCAATTGTCGCTGCGTCTCCGCCGTCGCCGCCGCCAGGGGGAGAGGGGGGGGGGGCGGGGTTTGAACCCCCCCCCCTGGGCTGCCTCTGGTCATCGTCGTTGCGTCCCCGCCGTCGGCGCTGCTGGCGGCCGCCAGCGCCGGCGCCAGCGCCGGCGTCGAGGGAGGGGGGGGTTGAACCCCCCCCCCTCTTGGGAAGGGGGGGGGGGCGAGGGCGAGGGGGGGGTTCGGGAGGGGGGGGTGGGGGGAAGGGGAGTCCCTTTGGTTTTGATCGACGGCTCCGGGTGCCACCTCCCGGTTCGAAACGCGCCGCCGAATATTCCGAAAGCAAGTGCCCGTGAAACGCGCTCTCTCTCCCATAATTCGATACCCTCATTTGGGGAAGCGGGGGCGGCAGATTCCCGCAATGCGGAAAGTTCCCCGCAATTCGAATTCAGTATTTCGGTAAATCAAGGAGGAGGTGCCGCTTGGGGGTTCGAATTATGGGAAACTTGGAACCACTACAAACAGTACTCTATAAGTTGATTCCTGTTTTCCCACATCATGGGGGACCCAGAATCAGTTCATTGACAGCGCTTTGTGGTAGTACTTCTAAAGTACCCCAAATTTGAGTTCGAGGTCTCCAATATTCGGATTATGGAAGGCTTGGAATCACCACGAAACCCGCATTCGATGAGCTGTTTCCAGGTTAGCCACATTTCCGGGTTATGGGAAACCCGGAACCAGCGCATACACTGCAATTTGTTCGTGGTGATTCCAGGTTCCCCATAATTCGAATCTCTCATGGGAAGCGGGGGCAGCTGATTCCCGCAATGCGGGAAGCTCCCCACAATTCGAATTCAGCACTTCGAAGAAACAGGGGGGAGAGCCTACCTGCGGGTTCGAATGATGGGAAATTTGGAACCACCACAAAAAAATGTTTATGAGCTGATTCCGGGTTTCCCATATTTTCGAATTTATGGGAAACCCGGAATCAGTTCATAGAGTGCGGTTGCGCGTAGTGATTATAATTTCCTTTTTGTTCGAATGTGAGGTTTCCCATATTCGAATCATGGGAAGTTTGGAACAACCACCAAACAGTGGTGGGTTAAGTAAGCTGATTCCATGCTTCTCACAATTCCAGATTATGGGATGCCCGGAATCAGCTCAAGGAGTGCGGTGTCTCGTGGTGATTCCAGGTTCCCTATATTTCGAACCTCTCATTTGGGGAAGCGGGGGCGGCAGATTCCCGCAGCGCGGAAAGTTCCCCGCAATTCGAAGTCAACACCTCGGGAAACCAGGGGGGAAGAGGCCGCTGGGGGGGTCGAAGTATGGGTATTTTGGAATCACAGCCAAAAACTGCCCTCTGTGTGCTGACTTCGGGGTCCCCCACGATTCGGAATTATGGGGCACCCGGACTCAGCTCACAGCGAGCGGTTCTTCGTAGTGATTCCAAGTTTCCCCGGAGTTCTGTCTCGAGGTTCCCCATATTCTAAGTATAGGAAATTCGGAGCCACCAAGAAAAATCGCACTCTTTGAGCGGATTCCAGACTTCCGACTTGTGGGGAACCTGGAATCATTAAAAACAGAAAACGCACTCTATGAGCTGATTCCGGGCTGGCCTCTCATAGTTTGAAAGTATGGGGAAGCCAGAGTCAGATCATAGAGAGCGTTTTTCGCAATGTTTCAAGGATTTTCACACTTCGAATTCGAAGTTTCCCGTATTCGAATTATGGGGAACCTGGAATCACCACAAAAATCCGCACTCTATGAGCTGATTCTGGGTTTCCCATAATTCGGAATTATGGGAAACCCAAAGTCAGTTCATAGAGTGCACTTTTTCGTAGTAGTTCCAGGTTTCCCATATTCCCATATTCGAATTATGGGAACCCTGGAGTCAGCTCACAGAGTGCGGTTTTTCAAGTGATTCCAGGTTTCCCAGTTACTCGAACCCCTCCTTCATTTGGGAAAGCGGGGGCGGCAGATTCTCGCAATGCGGGAAGATCACCAGAATTCGATTTCAGAATTTCGGCAAACCAGAGGGAAGCTGGGGGTTCGAATTATTGGAAACTTGGAATCACCACAAAACATCGCCCCTAGGGACGGCGTGGTTTCACGGTGTTTTATGTGGGACGCAACTTCGTCGGACCTCGCAGGGGCGCACGAAAGTGGCGACAGTGGTCTGTGTAGGACGTTTCTCTGCTGAGCTCCCAGAGGCCCACAAAAGTGGCGATGGTCTCGCAGATTCTAGCCCAGCCCCCAGTACGAAAGGTACGAACAATGGAGGCAAGGAGGCGCGATGCCGGAGGAGGGAGGGAGGAGGAGGCAGAAGGAGGGAGGGAGGAGGACGGGGGAGGAGGGAGGAGGAGAGGAGTGGAGACCACCGTGCTCTATTCAGCACGAGAGCCCAACACGGGAGGCTCGGGAAGAGAGTGGAGCGACTGCGGGGCGCCCGAGCACGATCTGGAGGTTGCCGCAAAGTGCATCGTGTATCGATCTGTTGTCTGGGAGTGCAGGGGGCGCGCACACTGGCCCGCGTCATCGGCCCGTCGCGTGGGGGATGGGGTGCAAATCAGTGTGGAGCAGGAGGAGCGGACCCCCTAAGCCACCTCCGCTCTGAGTCAAGCAGTGGCGAAGCGTCCTGGCCCGCCTACAGCCCTACCAAACAGTGTTCTAAGAACTTGTTTTGTGGTTTCCACGAAATGTTCTTAGAACAGTTCTGGCGGAGTCTGTCTTGTTTTATCACGTCGGGTTGATGTTCTAAGAACATTGTTTCTGTTATTAGAACATTTTGGGTTCTAAGAACATGTCGTGGTAGGACTATAGGAATGCCGGGACGGTCGGTCCCTGCTCAACTGAGTCGGGTATAGCCAGGACCCCAGGTAAGCGGACCCAGTCAGTGGTAGGGCCCCGGAGTCCCCAAAAGTGGCCAGAATTATTGAACCAGGTCTGTCGTAGCTGGGATTTTTTCGGGTGACGGCAGTTCCGGTTCGTGGAACGGGGCGGGGGGTCTGCGTCCCCCAGGTGCCCACCATTAAAGCAGGTCCCTTTACACCCAGTTCTGCCAACGCCCGACTGAGGGCTGGCGAAATTCACCTACCCGAGGTGCTTCTCATTACCCCACGGCCCCGGTAAGCGGCCGCCCGGGCGCCGCGGGTGGATTTTGGGAGGTCCAGGCATGGCCGACAATGTCAAGACGTGTCGATCTTCAGCCTGCGGAGTCGGCTGTCCGAAAGTCGGAGTGCTCGGACGCTGATCGGACGCTGATCGGCTCTGGTGCTGCCGACGGTGCGGATATGCCTTGATCGAGGTTCCTGGGTCGACCCCGACACTGCCGATGCCATCGAGGACAGAGGCTCCTACTGCAGTATTCTTTGGGCCGCCCGCACTGGTGCGACGACAGCCGCCTCTTGTCTAGGCCTCCTCGATGGGGTCGGAGTAGATGGGGTCGGATGATCGCGCCGCATCGCCGATGCATCGACGATGCGGCTCGATGCGGAGCCGGATTTTCTCCACGCCGACGACGCCGATACATCGCCGACGTCGACGCCTCATCGCCGGTGCATCGCCGATTCATCGCCGATGCATCGCCGATGTATCGGCGGTGCGGCGCGGTTCTCCGACCCCATTTGCTCCGACCCCATCCAGGAGGCCTCTATTTTGCGCGTCGCGGGTTGGGCCCAAAGATGCGCCGTTCTCCAGAGCGGCGGCGCGAGGGTCTGGGAGGCCTCGTCCAGAGAGTGCCAAGCCATAGTCTTGGCATCGCTCGGACGTGGGCCATTTTTCCTTCGGCGAGGGCCATCGAGGAGCATCCCTGATCATTTGGCGAAAGAACCGCGCACGAAGCCGAACAAAAACACAGGGAATGGATGTCCGAGCGATGGCGAGTAGTCTTACGTCGGGCACGTCCCTCCACAGGAGGAACATCCAAGAGTAGTCAAACAACAGTCCGGTGGCGACTGCTGCAGGGGCGCATGCCCGAATAGCACGATGCAGACGTGGCGTTCACCGAGGTCCCCGTCCTTGCATGAGGTCTGACACATCTGCAGGACAGACCCCCTATCCCTAATGGTCAGGTCCTCCCTTTGGGTGAAGCGTTTTTCTTTTCGCTCATCATTGGGGGAACAAAAAGTGACATAAACATAAAAACTCGGAGGTCCGCGCGGATTTCCCGGAAGAAATCCGCGCGGACCTCCGAGTTTGTATGTTTGTGCCACTTTTTTGTTTCCCTTTTTTTACCACCATCGCCGCGGGGCGCGGCACGCCACGCGAGGCGTCCCCGATGCTGCCCGCCCTGCCGCCCTCGCGCCCCCCCCCCCCGTCGGCCAGGCGCCCCTCTCAGCCCCGGGCCGCCCTCGCGCTTCGAGCAGGACTTCGAGCGGATGGAGCTCCTCGGCCGGGGCGCCTTCGGCGAGGCCGCGCGCCGGCGGGGCAGACGCGCGGCCGCCGTCGCCTCGCTTCCTCGCCGGCCCCCTCGCGGCGCCTCCGCCGCCGTCTCGCCGCCGCCACCGCCGCCGTCGCCGCCGCCGCCGCCGCCGTCCCCGCCGCCGCCCGCGCCGCCGCCCGCGCCGTCGCCGCGGCCGCCGTCGTCGCGGGGAGTGCGGGGTCGAAGGGCGGCGGGCGGCCTGGTCCCGGGGGGCGCCTGCGCGGGTCGACAAAGGGATGGGCGCCCGCGCCGCGGGAAGGGCTTTGTGGGTCTGCACGAAGGAGATGGTCGGGTCGGGCGAAAGGGGGGGATTGGGAAAGGGGGGTTACGAAATCTGCTGCATGCAGCTGGTTTCGGCCTCACCGAGGGGCCCATTCCTCGATACATGGCCGCCTCCGGCGCCGGGAGGCGCCGGGAAAGTCAGCTACGTGAGCTGATTCTCAAACCCCCCCTTTCGCCCGACCCGAGGTGGGCACGGAAAGAATGGGCACGATGCCCAACAGCAGTTCCTGCTCCTGTTGAGCAGGGCTCGCTGCCCGCGCCGCCGCGGCCTGCGTCCAAAAAGTGTGGGGGGGGGGCTCCCGTCCCACGTCCTGCGTCGTGGCGCCGCGGCCCCGCGGAGGAGGAGTGGAGGAGAGGCGGCGGCAGCCGGAGGGCCCCGAGGCGAGAGGAGGCGCGCGGCGAGCGTGGACGACAAGAGCCCACGCTGCGCGCCCGCGGCCCCCCTGGCAGGTCGCCCTTTGCGAGCGGGGCTGCGGCGCCCCGCCGCCCGCTCTCCCCGCCCGGCCCCCTCGAGCGGAGGGGGCCGCGAGGCACTGACCGGCCTCGAACGCATCCCTATCCCCAAGATTGGCATGCCCCAAAGGCGCCGACAACCTCAGGGCTGCGCCCCCAAAAAGGAAGGGCACCCCTAAGATTGGCAGCGTGAGGAAGAGGTGCCCCTGCACAGGGATAGGGACATGCTCCAGGCTGGTACTCCCCCCCCTGGAGGGCATCGGAGGCTCGCGCCGCCTCGCCGAAGGCACCTCTGCGGCGCGGCGCGGCCCGGGGCGCGAGGTGTGCTCCGCCCCGCCCTCGCCGCTGCGCTGCGGCGCGGCCCTCCGACCCCCTTCCGCTCCGGCCCCGGCCGCTGCGGCCCGCTCCGCTCTGCGAGCGCGGCGGCGGGCCGCCGCGGCTTCCCAGCCACCACATGCTGCCAGCCTGGGGCACATCCCTACCCCTATGCAGGGGCACCTCCTCATCACGATGCCAATCCTTAGGGGTTCCCCTGTTTTTGCATGGCGGATCCCTAGGGTTGTCATCGCCTTTTGGCGTGTCAAGCTTAGGGATAGGGGTACGTTCGAGGCTGGTGAACATGGGCCCCTCGGGGCAGCTGCCTCGGCAGCCCCCCGGGGCCGCTTCGCAGGGGCCCCGAGCCTTCGCCGCGAAGCGAGCGGGTTCTGACGGGGAGCCGGGTCCTGAGGGAATCCCTGGCGCCTCGCGTATCCCCACCAGCGTGCACGTGCACCGCACGCTTTGTGTGCAATTAGCTTGTACCGCCGTCCCGGACATCGCCTGTTACCGCCAGACCGTTGTCGCGCGGCCGCCGACCAAAAAAGTATCCCCACCAACCCACCCAGAAAGGATCGCAGGAAGGAAGAAAGGAGGGAAGGAACGGCCGAGGACGAGGAGGATGAGGAGGCGGCCTTTGCGGATATGTTGTTGTAAGAGATTATTGGAGGACATTTGGGGCATTATTGGAGCTCTTTTGGAGATCTCGGGGCCCTCGTGGTGCTCTTCGGCGAGTATGGGCCCCTGTTGGGACGGTCTTGTGCCCCATAGCCAACAAAAGAGGACAGCTTTAATTCAGATCCCCTCTCGGAGGCCGAACCAATTCATCTTGAGTCGTTTTTTGGCGCTCTTGGGGCCGTTCGGGGGCCCTCTTGGGCGCCATTTCATGGCAACCTAGAGGTTTCAAGCCAATCGGAACCGACAATGGTTCCCGAGGCGTTTCAATGAGTTTGGTCTCTTGGGGGGTGCTTTGGACGGATCGGAGGAGGGCATTTGGAGCCGTCTTGGGGCGGTCTGGGATGCTCTTGGGGGTATGCCGGAGGCTATATGAAGCCATCTTGAGGTAGCGTGGGCCGTCGTGGAGACCATCTTGCAGCATCTGGGACCCTCGTGGAGCCGTCTTTCGCAATCTTGGACGCTCTGAGCCCTCGGGGGTCCTCCCGTCCAGGCCCAGGGGAGGGAGGGTGGGGAGGAGTTAAGCTACCCACAAGCCACAGGCCGTCTCGCTCACTCCCACCCGCCCTCCCAAGACACAAAAGGAACCCGCGTCTCAGCGTGGACAGAGGCCGCCATCGGCAGCTGTCGGGAACCAATGCAGGTCGCGAAACCCGCGAGCTGCGCCGCACATGCCAGCTGCGCCACGCGCACCAGGTGCGCCACATTGTGCAACAGGTCGACCCTCCCACCGTCCCCGTCAAAAAACAATGCAAAGTGACGGCGGGTATGCTGTGCGCGGGTGTGCACCTATATCTGTCTTACCTGCAACGTGTACTGCGTGCAGCCCCTAAGGCATGGGAAGAGAGAATGGATGGAAGGGAGGGGCAAGGGAGAGGGAGGATGGAGCAGGACCGAGTGTAGCAGGAGGGTGGGCTAGGAGCAGAAATCACGAGGCAGAACCAGACGGTAGACCCAAGCGGGCGGGTCGGGAAGGCGGGCGCCGTCGGCCAGGTCGAGCAGACGGGTTGCGGAAGCGTGCTCCGGCATGAATCGCGAGGAAGTCCCGAGCGATAGCGCGATTCCTCGAGCGATAGCGCGATTCCTAAGTAAATCGAAAGAAAATCCATAGTGAGAGCATGATTCCTGAGTGTCGGCCCGTAGGGCGCGAGTGAGGGCGCGGCGTTTGAATACATTGCGAGGAAGTTCCACGTGAGAGCGCGATGCTTGCATAAACTGTAGGGAATTCCACGCGAAAGCGCGATTTGGGAATACATTGTGAGGAAGTCTCAGGCGAGAGCCATTGTTGTTGTAACCCTGGGGCCAGGGGCACAATTTGGTGACACCTCATTTTCCCGTGTTCAGAATAGGGTGCGAGCCGCGGGATCGGCATTCGAATTGGAAAAATACAGTGGTTACCAGAGGGGGGTCAACAATCATTCGTTCTGAGAATTCAGCAACAGCAACAACAACTACCACCAGCACAACCACAACCACAACCCACAACAACAGCAGCAGCAGCAACAACAGCAGCAACAACAAGAACAACTGCATTCACCACCACCAGCACCACCACCACCAACAACAAGCACCGCGGAACCTCACTGTAGCCACGCGCCCAGGTTCAGTGAATGACCGTTCGGTCCCCCCTGACGAAAGTGCTTGCGGCCCCCCAAAACTTGACGCACATTTTTGCCGCGAAGTGCACTTAGTGCATTTGTTGTCGCCAGTCGGGCTGAGGGGGGTGATTTCAACGAAGAGCAGTGATATATTCCTCCCCCGAGCAGCAGGGACTTTAGAATGTGAAGGAAACAACGCGTTCTACCATCTTCGCCCAGAAGGCTGGCGAGATGGGCCGTTTTCAGGAACGTCAAACAAATTATTCGGGATGCTGATTTAGCCCCTGGGGAAGTCTGGACCTGTCTCCTTCACGCTAACGAGATGGTCCCAGAGACCCCTGAATGGCATGCAGGAAGCCATCCCGGGACCTCCAGGGGATCACCATAGTACCGTAGGTCGCATTCCTTTTGTGTGTTGCTGCTTTGTTTTGCTGACCTTCATGGCGTCTAGAACCCTCGTGGCGCCAGGGGCCACTGGGGGCCGCCCAGCGACCACGATGCTGCAGGGCAGCGGCACACAATGTGTTACCTGATTCGTCCTCTCTTTCTCCTCCTCTTCCTATCCCTCCTGCTACTGTCCCGCATCCTCCTGCTTCTCTCTCACCTTCTCCTGCTCATTCTTCCCCTTCCTCCCCCATGTTCCCCCTCCGAGACTCCCTTCATTCTCCTACGTTTCATCCTCATGCTCTTATTGCGAAGGCCTTACGGCCAGTGCCGCCGACCCTGAAGGGTGACGACGACGACGACGACGACGACGACGACGACGCTGACATTTTGGTCAGTTTTGGAGGGTCCCTTGGGGGATTCTGGGGGCAGTTTGGGGGGGCCCTTGATAGCATCTTGAAAGCCTCTGAGGAGCCTCTTGGGAGCCTCTTGGAGCTTCCTGGGGGCCTCTTCGGAGCCTCTTGGAGACTCTCGGGGACCTCGTGGAGGCATCTTGGGGCCTCCTGGGAGCCTCTCGGGGCGGAGGGCTCGACATGCCCGTTTGGTTCCCCTGTCTGGGCACCCTCTTGAAGCCCTCTTGAGGGCTTCTTGGGCCGTTGCAGGCGTCTGGGGCCGTCTTCGGGCCATCTTTAGCTTGTTTCGGGACCCTCTTGCGGGCCTCTTGGGCCGCTCGTTGGAGCCTCCTGGGGCGATCTGTGGAGCTTTGGAGCGTGGGGAAGCTGAAAAGGCAAGAACGCCCAAATCCTTGAAAACATGCCAGGGAAATCAATGAGTGTTGCCTCTTGGCGCGTATTCCAGCCCTCTTGGGCCGTCTGAAGGCCGTAAAGACGTCTTGGACCAATCGTTCGGCGATTCGGGGTCCTCTTGGACCGTCTTGGGGGCCTCTTCGGACACTCTTGGCTCGTCTTGGGACAGTTTTGGGCCCCGGGCTACGTTTCATCCTCATGGTCCTATTCCTCAGTATCTTCATCTTCCCCGCTCGTACGTATTGTCATTTCTACTCTTCCGCATCACCAGCATCCTTCTCCTCATCCTCCCCCCTTCTGCTGCCGCGCAAAGGTCTGGCGCTGCCGACACCGGCTCGACGGGCACGAGTATGCCGTCAAGATGGTCCAGTTCCGCTCCAGGCTCGGGCCTCTGCTCCAGCGCTGCGACGGCGTGCGACTCTGCAGGGGGGGGGGAGCGGCATCGCCGCGAGCGGCCCGGAGGAGACACGAGGCAAGGCTCGAGCTGGCCAGACCCGCGAGAGCGTTGGCCGTTGTTCCTGGGCAGAGTTGGCGGGGAGGGGAGGGAGGGTTGGCGCCAGGAGAGGAGATGGGAGGGGCAGGTGGCGGGTACTACGCGGGGACAGGGGCAGGGGAGGGGGGGGAGGTGGGGGGAGGAGGAGGAGCAGGAGCGGGAGCAGGAGCAGGAACGGGAGCTTTCTTTGGCATCGACGCTAAGGTGCTATAATACAGAGCCTGCCTTGGGCCAGTGTCCGACCTCTGCCGTGACCTTTGGACGCTTCGGATGACGGCATGTGCATACAGGAGTCCAGGTGTGATATTTGGTAGACCGAGTGGGTCCAGAACAACTAAAACATAAGCCAGACCCTCGCCCGTGTGACGAGTAACAGTAGCACGTCGTACAGATGACCAGGGATGCCTGGTCAGAACACAGCAGTGTGATGCACATTTGCCCCCTGGCCTCCAACACACTCGCTCAGAGCCCCGAATCATCAGGGGTACCTCGGGACAGGGTTAACTCGGGTTCGTTTTTCGGGAATCCAAACCCGAGTTACCCCGGACCCCATTTACCCCGGATAACTCGGGCGCCCAATTCGCATAAAGGCCTGGGGCAGGCTTGCACCGAATGGGGGGAGGAGGAGGACCATGGGTGGACCGACGACTGACTCGGCAACAGGAGGTGCGTTGCCAAAATCCAGGGTCCGACCCGAGGGGGGCGCTCTGGACGGGAGCCCATGCGCAGAAAAGACCAGCGCGAGCAACAGGTGCAGGCTCTCGCGGAGGCTTATTTTTATAAAAGAATATGGCGGATTCAGGCTGCGTAGCTTCGGCAGCAGTTCCGCCGCCAAGAGAACCACAGCGCGAGACAACTTAGAGGTCAACGTCGCGCCCAGCCACGTCTTCATCAGAGGGCTGGGGGTGACCGAGCTGTCCCTCCCCAGCACTGGCACACTTCGCTCCGACGTCGACGATGTGCTTGCTAAAGCGGCACATCTTGTCATGTGGCAGAAACCATTCGTTCAAGGGCAATTGAGCGTTCGGTTTGTAAATGGACACCATCGTCCATAATTCTGAACGCAAAGGGAGAGAGAGAGAGAGAGAGAGAGAGAACTAGAGAGAGAACAACAAAAACACTGCAACAACGCTCTGGCGGCAGCTGATCCTCTTTTGGACGCTCGAAATGGTCGTTGACAAGCTGAAAGTCTGTATAAAGCATCATGAGGCCCACGTGCATGCAAGTCAGCTTGACATATAGCGGCGAACTCTCTTACTGGCGCGGTTTGTTGCGGATGGCACGGGGGGAGCGGGCCCATTTTTTGTGATTGACCACAGACAACGCACCAGCTTACACGACAAAGCTCTCGCACTGCATGCTTAAACGCACTGCAATCGGTGACTACGATGCCTACGTGGGCCGGCCGGCCTGCGGCGCGTTTAGTAGCTAATTAGGCCGCTTCCGTGTCCCGGAACGCTTCTGACGCCGCTTGCGCTCTCGCTGGCGGACGCGACCGAAAAAAAAGTACCCCCACCAATGTGCAGCAAGCAGCCCTGGCCGTTTGCAGTCAGCTCTGCCAGCTCAGCTTCAGCCAGCTGCCCCCCAGGAGGTAGGTTCTGATCTCGCGCTCGGTCGCTGTGTAATTAGGCTCTCGCGTAGCCCGCTCGACCTTTCGGACGCCGCCTGCGCCTTCGCTTGCGGCCGCGACCCAAAAATGTATCCCCACCAGCCTGGGCGTCTGCCAGCCGCCGCTTTCTCTGGCCTTTTCCGCCGTTCCCCTGCGGCCGGCCCTCTGGCCCCCCCCCCGCCTCGCAGCTCGGTCGGGGTTTCCCCACTGCTGCCCCTCGGCGCCACTCGGTGCCTGGCGATCCGGATGATGTTCCGTGGAGCGCCCGCACGTGCTGCCTTTTGTTCGTGTCGGGGTCGCTGTCCTGCGCTGCTCCCTGGCTTTGTCCACGGCGTGCTGTTCGTTTTGCCGGCGGTTTTCTTCATCTGGGTCGTGGGTTTCCCGAATTATCTCCTGGTGTTGCACGTCGCCCAGAAGTTCCTCCTGGTGCCTGCGCTCCTCTGAGCGGCAGTGAGGCTCGCCTTCTGTTTGTCTCTCCTGCTCGTTATTGTTTTTTGTTTTTCGCCTTCCTCTTCCGCTGCGCTAATTTAGGCCGTTGCTCGTGCGCAATATCCTGGATGCCGCCCGACCTTTTTCGCCACGGTCGCGATCAACAAAATCCCCACCAGTCTATTCAGAAGCCCTACCCATGAGAACTGACGGGGAAAGGGACGAAAAGACACATCTAGGAAAACAAAGCGAGCAACCAGGGTGAACCGAGAGATCTTTGGGAGCAAGGGGGGGGGGGGCCTTGAAAAGCCTTTTCGGGCCATCCCTGGGGGCCGCGCGGGGGCGAAGGGAAGAGGAGGAGGAGGAGAAGGAAGAGGAGGAGGAGGAGGAGGAGGAGGAGGAGGACAAGGAGGATGGGGAGGATGGGGAGGACGAGGACGCGGATAAGGACGAGGACGAGGGGGACGAGGACTAGAGGATGAGGACGACGCGGACGAGGACTCATGGAACCATCTAGAGGTATTATTGCGGTTGCTGTTGCTGGTAGTATTTGGCAGTTTTGGGGGCCCTTTTGGAACCCTCTTGGGATCATCTAGGGGGCCATCGATTACAGAATGGGGGGGGGGCAACTCAGCTCCCCACGCAGGAGCCCGCAAACCGTTTCCTGGGGCTTTCTAGGAGGAGCGCTCTTGGAACGGTTTTGGGGCCGTTGGAGCACTCTGAGACCATCTTGAGCCAGCTTGGGCTACCTGAGCCATCTCTGACGCCGTTCGGGGGCCTCTTTGGGGCCGTTTTGAGACCCTTTTTGGGGGGATCCTCTTGGGACCCCGTTGGGACCCAAGCGGGGTTGTGTTGGGGCTGTTTTGGGAGCCCTGGAACCCCTCGTGGGGCCGTCTTGGAGATCATCGATCAAAGGCAGGGGGGTCCTAGATGTGCCCCCCCCCCCCCCTCCCGCCCCTCGGGGGCCACGATCCTCCTGAGGGGTGTCAAAGATTGGCCCTCCCAGGGGCCGAACAAGGACCCTTTGCCACCTCGCGGGGCCCCCCGTCTAGGTCCAGGGACGAGGGTATGGGAGGGTAAACGTTTCCCGACGGGGAAGAAGGGGTTGTGGAAGAGGGAAAAAAAAACATCGTTAAACCACCTGTCGCCCAGAGGTCTACTGGGATTTGGAAGCAGCAAGGAAAGGGCGGGGAGCGTGCCGCGCCTGTGAGGAAACGGGCCTGAAGTTTGCCCAGCCGGTGCCCCAGCCGCAAGTCTGGTCAGCGGTGATGAAGATAGCCCGTGTCGCGGGACATCTGCACAGCGAGATGGATCAGGGCCCCGAGTTATCAGGGCAGGGGTGGTCAGGGACAACTCCTGATTCGGCCTCCCATCGTCGCGCAAAGGTTTCCCCAGTTTGCACTCAACCAGAGTTTTCCCGGAACACGTCTTGCCCCATGTGGACACTGTTGTCCAGCATGGTCTTGAAACAGCGGATATCTTGGACCAAGTGGTTCCAGTGTTTTCCCAGACAACAGGTGGGTCGGACAGAAAGAATCGGCCACGCGCAGAAGGGGGTGGTGGAAAGAGGGAAGGTTTCTTCTTCGTAGAAGGCGCGGTCCCGCTCTCTCTCTCTCTCTCTCTGTTTCTCTCTCTCTCTCTCTATTTCTCTCTTTCTCTCTCTCTCTCTCTATATATATGTATGTACGTATGTATGTATGTATGTATGTATATATATATATATATGTGTATATAAGTTGGTGTGTATATATATATATATATATATATATATATGCACGTGTGTGTAAGGCCCGTGTCTTCTACGAAGCGGCCTCGTTCTAAGAAGCCTTCCCGTCCTCTCCCTACCCCCGTTCTTCGCGCCGCCGAAAGACGAGGGGGCACCAGGCTTGCTGCGCGCAGCAGGTCCCCGCCCCGTCGCTGGGCGCTGTTCTCGTGCGTCTGCGCTCCCGGCGCCGGGAAAAAAAAACGATGCGTGAGCCCATTCGCTACCCGGGAGGAGGAGGAGGAGGAGGAGGAGGAGGACGAGGAGGAGGAGGAGCAGAATGTGGAGGAGCAGGAGGAGGAGGAGGAGGAGGAGGAGGAGCGATCTGCGCACAGGAGGTGGGGGAGAGGAGCCGCTTCAGCGCCGTCCTGGGGGAAGCAGCGCCCGCGCAGGGCATCCGACGGCGACAGGCTCCGGCAGCGCGTGGCGCGCGAGGCTCGGCCCCCGTCTTCGTCTAGCCGCCGTGTGGCACTGGCCCCTCCCCACGGGTTCCACTGGCATCGCCCGAACAAATTGATGTTCTGCGTCGAAGAATAAGCATCTGCGCACACCTTGGCCTTCTGGAGGCCCACGCGGATTTGTGCTGGAGCCGCGCTGGAGGCCCCCGCGGGTTTCGCGTCGCCTCCGGCGCCGCCCCTGGCACGCTCTGCGCGCCAGGAAGGGAGTTCAGCGCCGATCCGAGAAATCCGCGCGGATCTTCAAGACTTTCTGCATGTATGTATGTATGTATGTATGTATGTATGTATGTATGTATGTATGTATGTATATATATACACAAGACTGCACTGGCGCTTCGCGCCATGCACCTTGGTCCTTGAAGTTTGGCATGCGGGCGGAATGGCAGGAAGGTCAAACAGACAATGTAGCGATAACTCCTTGTTGCCTTTTCCGGCATCGCTGTTAAGAATGTTATTGAATCGTTTCGCTCATTCCGCCGGCCCATAATTGCGTGCCGTTGTCGACTGGCCGAGAGGTCTTTCGCGGTGCGGAGCTGCAGGGGCGGCGGCTGTTTTGTTGTTGTATTAGGTTTTGCGTTCGGCATGTGAGGCTTCTTCGTGGCCGCTGGGGGAGTCTTGAACGCATCGCGGGCCGTCTGGAAGCGTTTTGCCGATGGGGACTCTTTCGGGAGGCCTCTCGGTGGCCTCGTGGGGAACCTTTTACGCGTCGGGTCTTTGGCACTTGCTTGCGTGCTCGGGGGGGCATTTGGGGGGGCCTCGTGGGGCCGCTTAGGAGCCTCTTGGAGGCCTCCTGAGGTCCTGTTGGGGGCGTCTTGGGGCCTCTTAGGGGCCTCTTTGGGATTCCTGGGGGCTTCTTAGGGTCGAGGGCTCGAAATGTTGTTTCGTGTTCCCCCACTGGGACCTCTCTCGGGGCCTTCTTGGGCCGTCTTGGAGGCCTCCTCGGCCGTCTTGGAGCCCTCTTGGGCCGTCTTGGGGCCCCCTTGGGGGGCCTCTTGCGTCCTCTTGGGGCGGTCTTGGGGGCCTCTTGGGCCGTCTTGGGGTATGGGGAAGCCGAAAAGGTGGAAACGCCAAAATCTCTCCAAAGCCGTGGGAAAAAAGCAAGACATCGTGCCTCTTGGGGCCCTCCTGTCGGTGCTCTGGGGAGCGTGCTGGGCCGTCTGAGGGGGGCATCTTGTGCGTCGTGGAGCGATTGTGTGGCATCTCGGAGGTCTCTTGTATTGTCCTGAGGGGCTCTTGGCGGCCTCGCCCTGAGGCTGCGCTCCCCCCCCTTCCTCCCCCTCATTATTAATTCAAGCTTCGCGCGGCCCGCTTAGCTTCGACCGGAAGAGGTGCGCTCTCGACCCGCGACTCAAAACATTGTATCATCTTGAGGGGTTCTTGGCGGCCTCTTGGCCGTTCTTAGGGCTCTCCGAACGGCCTCGAGGGCGGCGCCCAGGAGGAAAGCCATCTCTGACCCGCAGCGCCCGGGCTTCGCCCGGGTACTTTTCTTCCGTGGACCCCCAGGGGCCGCCCCGCGCGCTAAGTAGAATTATTGTAAAGCAGTCACCAGAGATCTTAGCACGCCTCTGGCCCGTTGGGTCTGCGAATTCGCTATCCTTCCTCCATGTTTCTTCTTCCTCATTATCGCCCTACCTTGCGAGTTCTTCACCATCCTCCTCAGCTCTTTTTTGCGGAGACTCCTCCTTGGAGAGCCTCTGGGGGCCTTGCGGAAGTTTGTCCGACTTTTTTAGGTTTCCTGGAGGCCTCCTGGGCGACTTCTGGGGGCCTCTTAGGGTTTCCTCGGGCCACCCTGCCTCCAACCGCGGTCTCCCTGAACGACTGGGTCAAGAGTTGGAATTCTTCGGAGGGTGTCTTGGGGCCATCTTGGGCCGTCATGGGGCTCTCTTAGGCCATATTGGAAACTTGTTGTGCTGTCTTGGGGCTCTCGTAGACTGCCTGTTTCGGATTGTTTCGGGGCGATTCTTGAGCCCCCCAGGCGGTCTCGGACGCCTAGAAGACCGAGGAACAGGACATTCCCAAAATCATGTAAAAAACTATGGAACATAGAGAAATCAATGTTTTTTCTGTGTTTTGGAAGCCTCTTGGCGATCTTCTTTGGGTGGTCTTCGGGCGTCTGGTGGGTGTCTGGGGCGCTCTTGGGGCCATCGGGGGGGCGTTCGGTCGCCCTCCTGACCGATTTGGGCCCGCCGCCTAGGCCCCGCAAGGGTTTCCAGGAGCTCTGAAACGCCTGGGGGCCTCCTGCAGCGGCGTCCAGGGGGTCCCCGGGGCGATCGACCCGGGGGGGCCAGAGGGTCCCGGGGACCTGGGACTCGGGGGATCCGATTTCGGAGAGGGGGGTCTCGAGTAATTGAAATACATACATGGGACCATTTATACATACAAACAAACATACATACACCGTACAGACATACGTACGTAACATACAAGCATGCACTATATATATATATGTGTATATGTATACATACAAACATATATATATATATATATATATATATATATATAGATATATATATATATATATATATATATATATATATATATATATATATATATGTATCAGCGTGAGGGGGGCCGAACGGTCATTCACTGTCCCTGGGTGCGCGGCTGAAGTGGGGATCCACGGCGAAGATTATTGTTGTTGTTTTGTTGTTGTTTTGTTGCGTCGTCTCCACCCACCCGCGACCCACCCCGCGACCCACCCGCGACCCACCCCGCGACCCACCCGCGGCCCACCCGCGGCTCACCGCGACCCACCCGCGACCCACCCAATCTTCCCCGGCGGCCAGCCTGGGCGCCCCCTCACTCTTACCTGCAACTGCTGGGTGCTACGCGTATATGTATCTATATATACATCTGTATACATATATATATATATATATATATATATACATGCGCATTGCATGCCAAGGCCTGAGTTGCTACTAACAAGGTTGTTTTTTTTGACTTTTGGACATTTTGTTTTTTTGTTCCGGCATTCCTGCATTTGGGGATGTCTGGATTGTGGGGTTTCTGGGTTTCCGCAGTTCTCCAGGGTTTCCAGGCGCCCAGACATCCGGAAATTCAAAACAACACAAAAAATCCAGATGTCCCTGGTTGCGCGGACGTTACATGCCGCATTCTCCAGCACGCACCACATGTGGAGGCATTCTATGTTCCAGAAATCTACAAATCCAGAGATACAAAAAGCCACACTACGGTGCGCGATGTGTTGCGGTACGTTGTGCTGAATAGAGCAGTGGAAATACCGCTCTGAATTTTTTGATCGCTGGATTGCCGGATCTGCGGCGGAGTTTACAATGAATTCCAGACGCCCAGACATTTTCATATCCAAAAATCTAGCATTCCAGAAATCGCAAAACCCAGAAATCCGGAAGTCCTGAACTTCCTGGGCGCGCGGAGGTTACATGCCGTATTCTCCCGCACGCACCACACGTGGATGCATTCTGTATTCCAGAATCCCCCAGGGACACTCGGCGGCCTTCGACGACCCTCGGAGGACTTCGGCGGTCCTAAATCCCCTTGGTTCCGTTTATCCTGCTCGCCTCCGTCCTCCAGCCACTCATTCCTGCTCCCACTGCACTTCCCTTCCCGTCCGATGATTGTGATGGTCATGATGATGATGATGGTCATGATGATGACGGTGCTGATGATGAGGATGATAATGATGGGATATCCTGGGGCACCGAAGTTTTATTTGCACGTAATTGCCGGAGACCTCTTGCGCCCCTCTTGGAACCCTCAGTTTGCTGATAATCATCATCATCATCAACCTCATCATCGCCATGACTGTTGGCGCAGATGTCAAAAGATGCCCAACGATAGTCGTGCAGAGTCGCCCCGGCTTTCATATCTCAACCCATGCTTCAATTTTTCCCGCTGCTCAGATGTTTTATATCGCCACGTTGGCCCCGCTGCCCTTGCCGCGCGCGCGCCACGCACAGGACGCGTTTGCTGACCCGTTGCCCAAGTCGCGTGCTACGCGCGGGCAGCGCGTTCCAGCGCATCGCCAACGAACCCTTGCCAGGCGACATGGCCAACAATGATGGGCGGCCTTCCGATAAACCTCGGGGAGTGCATGGCGAGGAGCGACAACATCGCGGTCAACAACCTCAGCTACCTTGCGCGCCAGTCCTAAACGTTCTGTGAGTTTCGTTCTGCGTTGATATCCGTCCGTCGCGGGCGCCGCCCTGAACGTTCTTCGCAGTCGCGTTCATCACGGCGCATGGGTTACAGACAGCGAAGGGTCGGAAGAACATGATTGCATCGCGTCGCGGAGCGCAATCTAGGAGCGGCGACTGTTTCTTGCTCTCGATCGCTGAGCCGCCGGCTGGCGCGGCGAACATTGCCCGGGCGGCGGCGCGCGCCACGTGTCGTCGACGCGAGGGAGTTCTCCATTTTCTCATATACAAAGTTCGTGCGCGCGCACATGTCGGCCGCCATTCTCTGTCCCAGTCCCCATTTTAATCCGCGCGCTGCGCCGCCCCGGTCACGCAGCCCAGCGTCGCGCTCGCCCGCCCACCTTCTCTCGCGCCCCGAGGCGTCGGGAAATCCACGACGCGCGCGGGTTGGGGGCCCCGTGCTTCTTGTTCGGCGCTTAGACTCATCTTTCCTGCTCTTGCCCCTGCTCCGCCTCCGCCCCCTCCTCCTCCTCCTCGTCCTCCTCCCCCTCGTCCTCCTCCTCCTCGTCCTCCTCCACCTCCTCCTCCTCCGCCTCATCCTTCCCCCATTCCTGCGGCTGCCGCCCCCGTTCCGGAGCGGGGTTCGCCTCTTGGGCGTTGCCCGACACGCTGTCGGGCACTTATGTTTCTGCCTGTCCGCGACGTGCGAGCTGATTCGAAACCTGCTTTTCCCCGACGACGACCAACCGTCGTCGTCGTCGCCCTTCCCCCGCCCCGCGACGCCGCGCGCCGTTGCGCGGCGCGCTCGGGACTTGCGCGGCGCATTTAGAAAAATGATGTCCAGCGACGTTCGCGCAGA